TTTCAATCCTTGGATTTCATTTAGTTCAATTATAGAATATAACTTTGGAAATTGTTTGGATTTCAATTCTTATGTGTCTCAGAACGTAGAAAACACCAGGATCTTTTTAAAATAATAAAAAAAAAATTGAGAACTTTTTCCTGTTATATATAGTTTTGGGTTCATTAAAATATTAAAAACAATGAAAGATCTTTCTTGAGTTGTAAACATTCTACTTTGAATTTGTCAATGGGCAGTTATTATTAGAGGAATGAGACAAATCAGAGGTAAAATGCCTTTCTGGATTTAGCCAAATTTGTTTGTTTTCATTTGATGTTATTCTTTCTACTCCTTAAAATTCACCGAATTTTCACGCTTAGTGAAAATTCTTTATTCTTTCTACTCCTTAAAATTCACCGAATTTTCACRCTTAGTGAAAAACCAAATGCAGAATACAGAGTATGAATTGGAGGGTTTATTTTTGTATTTTTATTTTTGGTAGTGGGGATTGAACCCAGTGGTACTTAAATACTGAGCCACATCCTCAGGCCTTTTTATTTTGTATTTTGAAATAGGGTCTTGCTAAGGCTGACTTTCAACTTGGCAATCCTCCTCCTTTAGCCTCCTGTGCTGCTGGCATTATAGACATCAGCCATCATGCCTGACTGGAGAGTTTATTTTTAAAGAACCATTATTGGGGCATCCTAGGATAGAGAGAGCAGTTTATCTTTATTTCTCTCTATTTTGGCATCTACTTTTATTGAAGTTTGCATCAATAGGATAAATATAAAATTATGAAAGAATGCAAACACCAAACAATAGAATGAAGCAGTAAATAATATGCTATTATCCTAAATGATGTTATAATACCCATAAAATAATATTCCAATGTGAACTCATTTTCATATGGAGAGCTTCTAAGAATAAGCTAGTGATTTATATTCCCTAGAATTTAAAGATAATAGATACCTTTGTTAATACTGTGATAGGCCACTASAAGGATAAATTTAACCTGTGGCTCAAAGATAACTTTAATATCTTTTAAATAACCAGTTAGCCAATGACTGGTATGCACTAGATATTGGAACTACAGAGATGAATGAAATATATTGCTTTTAAGACTCTTATGCTCAGAAATGAATTTAAAGCTACCTAATTATTGATATGAAATTTTTAATTTAGCAGTGTCAACAAAATGCATGGGAGCATATAGGAGAAATTGATACTGCCTTGAGATGAAGTATTAAATGGTTTAGAAGAATCCATGTCATTCAGAGGTCCTATTCATGTAACTTATAGTCCCTTGAATATTGCAATTCGTTTCTTTGGGTGCATATGTGGAGCATATGCAGTTTTCAAGCTCTGACTTCGTGTTTTGCCATATCATTTATAGAACATTCAATTAGGAGATTATATAAAATTTAAGAACTTTACATCTGTTGATATCCTTTACTGTTTCTGTGTCTTTCTACATTATGTACTCTGTTTAGTTTTTATTCTGAATTAATGCATATGTATATAGAATTTAAAAATCATGAGTTTCTTTATTTGTACTGGAGGCTAAATATTTCTCTGTAAGCATCATTTACTCATCTTAACTTGATAAATGTGAAATTTGATTGTGCAAAGAGAGACAGATGATTTCTGCTATTGGGTAGGGAAGATGAATAACATTCTAAACTGTATCTTCCAGGATCAGATAATAAATATTTGCAGATTCTGATAGAATTTTTATTTAAGTATTTTCTGATACTTGTTTTCAATCTGGATTTATCTCCGGAAGCTGTTAGGATTTTACAGTGTAGGATAACCATCATTTAAACTTGTAAAATCATCAATGTCCATCCAGGATGAACATGTTGAGCCAAGAGTGAATTTTCTTCAGACAACTTGCTTTTGCTGTTCCTGAGAATACCAACAATATAGAAAGTATCTGCTCCTGGTGGTCTTGGAGCAACCTGAACTGGCTTGTGGATGGGCTCAGGCATTGAACGTGTGTATGTTTCTTGAATTTTGTGTCTTAACTTATTTGTCCAGAAAAGGTCAGAAACCAAAGGTTAAAAAGTCGTAGTACAGAGTTGAGTACAAGATAGTAAATTGTGTCTAGCTCCAGAAGGAGGTGAATTTTGTCACATAATTTAAGCCATTTCTGTAGCATAATACAAGTTAATAGAGGTCATATTTCTATAAGCATGGTGATTGAATAACTTATTCACATTTCTTGAGTTTCTATTAATATTTCTATTAATAATCCCCAGTTGACAAACTATTTTTTTAATGAATGATTCCTAATGTACATATTATTTTCAGTTTTAAAAGCTTGATTTATCGTATTCTTCTTTAAAACCTATTGGCTTCCTTGCATTTTGTATATCTGTTATGGTACCAATTCCTGTCAGTTAATCAATAAATGTAGRAGGCTTCTTGTCACTTCTGTTTTTCTACCTCAACCAGTGTTCAAATTGTATCAGTTTTTCCTGTTTAGATTTCAAATGTTATTCCAGCCCTTCTTACATTGCTCACCACCATTTTGTTTTTACATTAGTTTCTTAATCTGAATCAACTGTTTCTATTATTGTTCCTGCTTTCCATAATATCCTTTGTGATTTTCACTATTTGCACTTGAATCTGAATTTTGTGTTTTGGTACACAAAAAGGCATGTCTGATCTGTCCCCTGTCTTCCTGGTTAGCATCATCTCTCTTAACTCCTTTACCAGCTCTCCCTGCTCAAAGGATTTCTGAACTTTGAATTACTTGTAATTCAGTGAAATAGCCCATGTCTTTGAACATATTAATTCCTCTTCTTGAAATATCTTTGTCCATTCCTTCATTTGGCACTTTCCTATTAATCTTTGAGTTAGTAGTTTTATTAAGTAGTCTTTGTTCTTATTTAGTACCTCCGATTCCCATTGTATGCCGGATGTACCTCTTGTAGTGTATAGTATGTTTTACTATGATAGCTGTGCATCTGCAGTTGTACAGTTTGTACTGCTTCCCTTTGTAGCTCCTGAACCTTTTTTGGTATCTCTGGGAATTAATATGGCACAGATTCTAAATTGAAGTCTACTACTGGTACGCTGAATTGGTGTGAAATCATATGATACCTCAAGTCCATATATATATATACATTGAGATATATGTGAGATCACAGTTCTATGTATCTGGAATTTGCAATTTTTTATTACTATTGRAGCTGTACATTAAAGCTATGTAATTTATTTTGTGTTAATAAAAATACCTTGATCTTTACCGTCATTATAGGATTTTTGACCTGTAAGGAAAGTCASTATGTTTTGGAATATATGTATGTATATTCATAAACTCATGTATGCATGATAAAAATCAAAGAATGGTTGTAGGCCATGTTAGTAGTAAAATAGGCATTACATCTGGGGAAACATTTTATAGATTTAAATAGATGCTTTCAGCTTAGTTTCCMACTTTTCTTTCTTTGAGAAATCATCTTTTTGAATATTTCCTGAAAATAATTTAGATTATTTTTCCCCTTCTTCTCAATTTCATGCTACTTATATTTTCTGCATATATCTGTTTTCAGTTTAGGTGATATTTATGCTAAGTTTAGTGTTGCTGGTATTTGCTTCTTTCTGTGTGCTTCTTTCTTTACATTCGTTTAGAATCTGGGTGATTGACACTGATTTAGTATCTCTTAATGTAGAGAAATTGTGTGCACATACCACACACATGCATRCATACTCTCTGAGCTCTTTAAAAATTAGAGTATATACTGATAAAAAAAGTTTGTGGGTGCTTAGTAATGACTGGTAAGGATGTGGAAGGAAAACATTTTAAATTTATTGACACAAACTCGTGATAGCTGAGTGAGTATGTAGCAGAAAGGTAGACTGTTTTAAGTTTTTTAATGTATGTATTGCTTATCCCTCTGTCTTCTGGCACATTTCCCACCCCTATTTTAAACAATCTTAAGGTTTGACAGTACAGGCATGCTGGTCAGATTTTAGTGCTTGGATATCAAATATAACAATTACTATATATTTCAACCAGCAGGAACTGAGACCCCTGTTGGTGTCTTAATCCAAAAACAACATTTTAAATTCATATAAACCTTGCCTTAAGGAATGGAGAAAAGACAATTTAGGGAACAGCGTGGGGTTAAACATATTGATCAGTAGTTCAGTAGTTCTTGTTAGACTTTGAGTAGAATGTAGACATAGAAAAATAACATTATCAGCAACAACAAAGAATGAATTTCCTCTCTAGAGAGAATTCTCTTTTGCCTCAATTATATGGATTTTTGATGATGAAAGACATAGTTCAGGCAGGGCTAAAAAAAATGGAGAAGTTGAAAGCTGGGTGTGAAACCTAAACTGAAAGATTTTGTAATTTTTTATTATTATTTAAGCTGTACATTAAAAGGGGTTTAATGAGCTATATAATTTTTGTGTCAATAAAAATAACATAGTAATTTTGAATTTTTGCCAATGTGCAAAAACCATTGCTTGATAAAGTTTGAGAAATTAATTAATTATGTAGATTTTGGTTATAATAACCCTGGTAACCAGATTCAGTAGCCTGTTGATTTTGTGGTCTTTGGGAATTTATGTTTCTTTTGATGAATGGAAAATTTTTATTTTTTTGTTCCAGTTTAGATACTATCCATCCACTAGTACATATTTGTAGTTTTCAGCCAGAATGTGTTCATGTTCTATTGGTTGTATGTGGAATGATGCTGGATAAGACCTTACCTTTTGGTTATTGGTGAATTTTTTTGTGAAGAGATACTAATGAGTAATATATCTTCATCTCCCTTTTTCCTCAACAATCCCAAATAAGTGAAAAAGAAAAACTACTGAAACTCTATTTCTTTTAAATATATATGGTTGATTAAAATATTTTACACATAAATTATTATATTAATAGGATTTTCTGCTAGAGAAAATATTTGGTAATTCTTGGAACAGAACCTTTCGATTTTTCAATTTTGTTGTTTTATCTCTAATGTTAGAAACCAAGTCTAAATCTCACTGTGTGTCTGCTGTAGGTAGCTTGTATGCAGCTCATAAACGCCCTTGTTACATCTCCTGATGATTTGGACTTCAGGCTTCATATCAGAAATGAATTTATGCGTTGTGGATTGAAAGAGATATTGCCAGTAAGTGCCCTGCAGTCTCCTTATTAATATTTAAATTAGAAGAGTACTTGAGAGGGGGAAATTTAGATAAATTACCCTGAAGAATAATTTATCTATGGGAAAAGACTTGAGTATAAAAATCTATTTTTGAAATATAGATGATAAGATTTGAGTATTATTTAACACTTTATATGTTTGAATGCTATAAATCATGTTGAATGGTTGGTTTATTGTTTATATGTTATACATTAATTTTTTGCATAATTAAATACAAAATCATTCATCATATTTGCAATTTAATATCTCTAGAGTTTAAAACGTATTAAGAATGATGGCCTGGATATCCAACTTAAAGTCTTTGATGAGCATAAGGAAGAAGATTTGATTGAGTTCTCTCATCGTCTGGAAGATATTAGAGCTGAACTTGAATATCCTTTTTTTCTGAGGTGTAGTCAAAAGATACATAGAAGCATTGCTAATTCCAAAACAACTGAGTGCTCCCTATAAAATATTTAACTCATTTCTATGTAAACAATGTGAAATCAAATCTTTTTGCACCAGAAAAATGTTATTTTGTTAGCTCTTTCCAKTTTTCTGAGTATACACATATATAAATTGATATTACAATTAACAAATGGACCAGCTTTTTATGTGGTGCATCTCCCTTGCCACCCATGCTCCTTCTCTGCACAGTGGGTTCATACTCACTAGGCCCCTTGTTCATTTTGTAGGACTGCATTCTTCCAGAGATCCACCAGTATTCTCTACTAGTGCTTCTCCATGATAAATAACACCTGCCCTGGCACTGTCAGTGAGAGCAYCCCTAGAACTCATTATGGTGTTCACAGCCAGCAGCCTGCTACCTTCACCTCCAGCAGCATTTTCAYATAGATAAAGCAGATTAGTTGGGGTTATGAGGGGGAAGCAAGAAAGTGTCAGAGCAAGTTACATTTCCAGAGTTATTCTCTGCCTTCAGTCTTCAGTACCTGTATTAGGGTAAGATAGATAATGGTTTCTCAAAGCTTTACAGAGCAGATTCTGTATCATATTATCACAGTTGTTTGATGTTAGAGTATAAATAAGTCCTTATGTTCCTTAATCAACTTACTGAAGCATCTGATGTTTACAACATGGTATGGAACACAGTTAAGGAAACCAGAGCAGAGGGATATTTTATTTCTATTCTTCAGCATCTTTTGCTGATTCGAAATGATTATTTTATAAGGTCAGAGGAAGTTATATTCTAATRTTTTCTTTCACCAATAAAAATCTATTAATTGTGAAGTTCACTTGATATTTCATTTGGACTAAAAAATAATTTTTATTTCTGTCATAATATTGATTTATGTTTTTTACCTCTGGGCATACATTTAGATACATTATGGTGACACACTATTATATTACTGTGACTTTAAATTGCAGTGGATTCTTGGTTATAGTCTTTCATCTGAATAAAAATTCAAAGTAGCAACAAATTATTTAACATGTGATGCGTAATATTTTCTGGTTATTTCTTATGCAGTACCTATGATGTTGGTACGTTTCTTTTCATAAGTTACATGAAGGGTACTAAACACGGCATTTATTAGTGTTTAAGTAGCTGGAAATTACCTTAATGATATAGGTGTGTTTAATGTTTCTAATGCATTAGAGAAACTATACATATGGCTTTTCAGGTTTGATTATATACCAGCCAGCTGAGCATAACAAATTGTTTACCCTTTCTCTACCTCATCTACATCATAATGTAGCTCTATATGTATATGAACACCTAACTCACTGGGCTGTAGGAAGATTAAGTATGGTAACAGAGCCAAATCCCTGATACATGGTGCATGCTCAATAAGTGTTCTCTATAWTCTCTTTCCAGTTTTATTGCTATTTTATGAGAGAAACTAAGATGTTTGAATATAAAATCCTCTATGTTACCACCAATTTATCTTTGCCGTGATTTCATTCTCAAATATTGTGGAGTATGTCTTTCCTACTTATTTTCAAGTAGAAGGATTTGTTAGAAAAGCCTCTATCAGCCTGTGCCCCTGGGTGAAGGCAAAGTGCAACTCAGTGTTGTACTGATGTACCTAACAAGAGGCAACAAGAGTCAAAATGTTGGAACTTCAGATCCTTTAGGAAGAGTGGAGGTCATGCACCAAACTTCTTTGTAGCTAAGAACCCCATAAATGTTTTAAAAATATAAGCTTAATAAACTGCTTTCTGATATTTAAGATAAAATAAAAGCTTACATATTTAACCATTTTATAAATGCTAGATGAAAAATACTAATTAGATAAGATTTTATAATACCCCTTATATCCTGCTAATTACAATACTATATTTCTACTCCAAATTTACTTCAAATTGAAATTAAAACTTGTCTTTATTCTGAAGTAACCCCATCAATTTCTTGATCTGTTTTTATGTGATCCCACTGACCTCAGGTTGCTTTTTGCTATTGCAAGTTCCCAGGAAGTCAGGACCCTGTTAGCATTCAGTGGTTTGAATGTGTCTGTGGTGCCACAGGGGTTGTGTCCAAGAGACATGGTATTGTGTCCAACTTCAAAACAGATCAAAATAAACAACTGTCCTGGGGCATGTTCAGCTCATCTTATTTTAGCAGGAGWCATACTTGTTATAAGTTTAATACAACTATCTGTTTTTGTTTCATGATCTCAAATTGCAATTAGTTATTGTTATTATTTGTCCACTCTTATAAATTTATATTTTTGTTGCTTTTATTATATTATAGTATCACAGTTGTGGTCACTTACATATTTTTGTCATCCATTCATCTTTAAAAAATTAACTYATTTAGCTTTTTATTTCCATGCAGTAAAACAACTTTTATTGGTATAAAAGTAAACATTCTATTAATGTTGTTCTTTGTGTTTTCTGTTTATATTTTTATTTCCTCCATTGTACCATGGACCTGCAATTTGCCTTTTTAGAAATCTTAGATGACCTTAACATTTATTATTGAATAACATTTTAAACTACTGTTGATATAAAAAAATATAACTTTTCACTTTTTGTAAATAACAAATTATCTTGTCAAAATGTAAAATGTTCTCATTTAAAATAATTGAGGAGAAAAATTGAGTTCTTTTTTTTTTAATTTAACTTTTGGGTTAAAAGGAAATTTTACTGAAATGTTACTCCATTGGGGAAAATGTACACAAGGCAGCCATAATTCCTCAAGAAAAAGGGGTAAAAAATGTACAGGAGGAGGAGARGACCAAATTCTGTTTTGACCAAATAATTAGTGTCTTATCAGGTGCAAAATATGATGCTAGTTGAAGCTCAAGGGAGATAATTTTTGACATTTGTTAAAAATACTACAGATAAAATGCATATAATTTCAGAACACATTCTCCAATAAGAATAGTATTGTGTTGGTGAAGTGTAATGGCAATTTGTATTTATCACTTAATTTATTCACATATTCCCCTGACAGATTCATGATACTTATCATGGAGATTATTTCCTAGATGTACATTTCTAAGATCCAGAGTCATGTTGTTCTTGGCTATTTTTGCTTGCTGAAAGAGTTTTTGCATGTAATTTGAGCCACATCATTAATGAACTCATAAGTGGACATTGTGGATTTGAGAAAAAGTGTGCCAACATTAAATTTTAAAAAATGACAAAATGTCTTGCAGTATTAAAGCAAAAAMATTTTTATTATTAAACTACTAGACTGATGTTAAGATTAAAAAAAGGAATACATCGTGGAAAATTTCAAATGTGATAGATATATAAGTGTAAAAGAAGTTATAACAGCTAAACTATTAAAGCCTTACATTATTTAATGTCCTTGAAAGAAGTAGAGAAAATTGAGACTTGSGAATCATTCCTTGAATACTTTACCCTGTGAAAATTAATGACTTAATCTTTAATAATATTTAGCCATACTAGTTTTATTCAGCATAATAGATGGTTTATTACATGTAAGGTAAATAGTTCAAAGATAGTAGGACACAGTTTATAGGAAAGAGAGGTCCATGTGGCCAGAGGGGCTGTCCATATGGAAAGTGGTGGAGAAGAAAATTTCACTACGCAAGTCCTGGAGGAAAGAAAGAATTCTTARGGGTGATTGGGAATGTTATTTTGTACCTCATTACGGTACTGCCTATTCTAACATTTAATCTGATTTTGTTTATAATTTTTATTGCATGTATTACTTTCACATTCGTTGCCTAGATTTTTAGGGAATGTTCTTAGGGTATTAGAAATACAGATGGACTATGTTTAACTTTTAGAAACAACATGGATCCTRTTTGGGGATTTTAGTTGAAATTTAATTTTTGTACATTGTTGTCATATTAAATGTTTCCTAGTTTTCCTTTGAGTAAGAAATACTAGTTTGGCATTACATAACATTTACAGTATCAGTTTTGTTTGTGTTTGTGATGTTGAAGATCTAACCCAGGGCGTAAGGCACACTATACAAGTGCTCTACCATTGAACCACATCCCCAGTTTCTGCAGTGTCAGTTTTTAATTTGATTGCATAAACATTCTGAAAATAATGTGCAATATGGCTTTAAAGAACTTCCCATAAAACTTTTTGTAGAAAATATTTTCTTGGTTTGTACTAATAAAATGAATGAATGGTAGCTATTTTGGTGTGACACAGTGAAGTTTAATGATCTTTGAGGATTACCTTCAAGCACATATCACTTCATTTTAATCTCTTTATAACTGTTGACAAATTAAGTAAAGGTTTTGACTTGTATTTGAAAGTCATCTTTAAAGCATTGTGTATTTCCTAAAAGCTTATTTAAAAATATTTATTAAAATCAATAAATGGAATTTGATTTCACTTATATTTATATTGCCTAATTTTTAATTAGCARTGTTCTCTACCTAACACTTGTTGAAACTATATTAACAAATTCTTGAACTTAAAATTAAGCCTAATCAAAATTATTGTTTTGATGTAATAAGAGTACATTTACTCTTCTCTTTCATTTTAGACAACAGTACTTCAAATTAATCGATGAATGTGTATCCCAGATTGTATTGCATAAAGATGGAATGGATCCAGATTTCACATATCGAAAACGATTGGATTTAGATTTAAGTCAATTTGTAGRTAAGTATTTCTTCTTTTAAATTCAAATATCTTATTTTTTTCTATGACTTGGGTTAGCTCTGTGGTATTGGTTTCTATGAAGGACCTCCAGAGGGTCTTTGAGCCCCTTTCAGGGTATCTTAGTACTCATTATAATACTTATTTATTATTTGCCTTTTTGATTCTGTTAATGTCTTCCACTGATGGCACAAAGCAAAGGGGTGTAAAACTTATAAATCAAGGCACTGGCACTAAACTGTACTCAGTGTATTCTTTACATAGAATAAAGCAACACGTGGGGCACACTTGTAATCCTAGATACATTGGAGGCTGAGGCCGGAGGATCATAAGTTTGAGGACAGCTGTGACAATTTAATAAGACCCTGTCTCAAAATAATAAGACTCTGTAATAATAATAATAATAATAATAATAATAATAATAATAATAATACAAAAGGGGCAAAGACATGATTCAGTGCACCCCTGGGTGGAACCTTAGAACTGCAAACTAAACTAATCCTGCCAATTTTCTAAAAAGAAATTCCATGTACTCCTAAGAATAATTTCATTACATGTTGCTGCTTGAGAACATCTTTTCAATATTGTATGTTAACAAATGAATTATATGCATGAAGCATTTGTGTGTACCAATGTATAAGATAATCAAAAACAGTCTTTTAGTTTGAAACACTGTCATGTGAACTGGTTACTCTGTTTAGCACACATATTCATAAAACTGAAATAGAGTGAACCTGTACTTCAAAGACAATGACTGACAGAATTTGTGACCAATGAGAAAATCTGAGTTTTTAAGTGAAAATTAGAATTTTGAAAACTCATATTTATTGCTGCTACCTTTATAGTGTCTTAGTACTAACAAAACAAAACAAAACAAACCTTTCTAATGTGTTTAGTGGAATAATTAACCAATATGGTTATTTTGATATTGTATAAAGAGATGTGTTAATATTTGGAGATGTACTTGACTCAGCAAACCTTTCATTTCTAAATAACCAGTGCCTGATGATACAAATTTAGCATAGGCAAAAGATCCATTAAAAGTTAAATAGTGAAGCATAATCTTATAGTAACAGTGCAAGTTCATTGATATTTGGACACTATTTAAAAAGTGTCATTTGTGAAATTTTGGTGTAACAGCAGAGAATAATATACAGGAAGGTCTGAAAAGGCTATCAACACACACCTCCCGTTTTCAACTACTTATCTATGCAAGATTATGTTTTTCTTCTGCACTCAGGAAAAGAAATGGAATGTATAGAAGGAGTAGAGAACTAGATAACATTAATGACACTGATAATGAAAATGCTTGTTTCTGTGGAGAGAAACAATTAGCATTTCCTAAGAGTAAGAGCGGGGCATAGATTCTAAGAAAAATGTACTCTATATATGTAGCAAACCAAAATGGGAAATGATTTTGTATGGTGTCAGAAAAATATATCCCACTTGGACATTAGGAATGCTTTTTCTTTGGTGGCTGTGGGATTTTGTTATTGAAGTCTTGAGAAAGAAATAGAAAGCTTTGAATACTGCTGGACAATACAAGTGAATCATATTTATACAGTTTTAATAAATTTATTACTTATTAATTTTAAATGATTAGAATAAATATACAGATTTAAATACAGGAAAGACCTGTATTTATTTGAGTAGGTGAGAGAAGAGATAAAGTCCAGCAACAGGGGAGTAAGGTRTTAAAAAGCATAGGGTGCTTATAATTTCATATATCATAGTAATTGAGAGATACTGTCTATATTTTAGGAATCAGAGAATTAATTATTTAGTGCCATGGAGCCAGCCGATTTAGCAAGTAGAATGGCAAAAAATTGTGGTTAGACAGGCACACTGTCTTCATCTTTTATAATAGGAAGTTTCTTATAATGTTTTAAGTAGATCAGTCAAGTTACAACTGCATTTGCATATTATTTTAATTAMGAAGCTAACCACCAGAATAATCTAATATAGAAACACCAATGAGAGGTTACACTTCGGAAGCAGGCTAAGGATTGGATGCAGTGATTTGGTTGACTGTTCTTTTTCATTATAAGTTTTTCTATAATAAACTATGCTCATGTATTTGTTTCATTAATAAAAATGAATAACTAGGATAAAAAGGATATTCGTGATGTGTGTGTGTGTGTGTGTAAAAGTAATTCCATTTGAATCATTTCTTCTACATAATATCATACAAATAYATATCAATTTAATTAATCTACTATTAATGGGCATTTAAATTATTTCCAGTTCTTTTAGCTAACATAAACTTTTAGCTAACATAACTCATTAAATGAGTATTCTGCTCAATGGCAAAGTCCTAAAAAATAGTATTGCTGTCTGAAAGAAGTGTTTTCTTTTAAAATTTTAGCAAGTATTGCCTAATTTTTAATCAGCAGTGTTCCTCACTTAACACTTCAGTTATTACTTTGTAGGAGAGTTGGTTTCCTTGTGCCAACTCCAGTAYTTGACATTTTGGACCATTTAATCTTTGCTATGAGTTCTCATTTGAAATTTTATATTTTCATATTATTTGGTTGTAACAAACCTTTTAGTAGTTGTTATTTTCCCCCCTATTATGGCTGCCTGTTTCCTAGTTTCTGTTGGTCTCATTTTTCATTCTTCCTTCAGAATATTTAAGGTTGATGATAGGAACTTTTGGGTGTTATATAATTGAAATCTCTCCTCTTGCCTGATAGAAGTTTAAAATTGTAGTTGGGTTTGTCTTTTTTGATGTCAGGCTTTATAAAGCCACCTCCATTTCAGCCTCATAATATGGTTCTTCATTTTGTTTACATTTTCTCTATTTATCATTATTATTTCTAATTCCATTCCATGATTTTTTCTTTCTAAGCTATTGAATTTACAATGAATTTAAGTAATATTGCAATTAAAAGATTTTTGTCAATGCAATTTTAGATGTTTGCATAGATCAAGCAAAACTAGAAGAGTTTGAAGAAAAGGCATCAGAACTTCACAAAAAAGTAAGTAACATTGACTAACCTTGCCAGACTTTGTGGGGAATCACTGAAGGCATGAATGGACCTCAGGGACTTTGCTTGTTATTCTTTTTTTCCCCCCTAGGTATTTACCCATACACTGTTCTCTATGTATAATTTCTTAGACCACCTTGTTATTTAAAACTTCATTCCCCATTCCTAAGTTTTGCCTTTCCTGTACTTCTTCCCTTATTTTTTTTCCATTATATTTGTTATAACCTTGTATAGTACTAAATTTATGTACTTTTATGTGTACATGTGTATTAGTTATTTCTCACTCCAGAGTAAACTTTGAGGGTTCCCCCCCGCCCCGCCCTATTCACTATTTCTGCACCAAGAACAATTCCTGACTTTGTGTAAGAACTAAAAAAATAWTTTTTGAATGAAAAAATAAATAGTTGAACAAAATGTTTAGAATCAAAATCCTAAGATGAGTAATTCTTAAGAAGTCACAGATTAGATTCTTTAGACTGAAATTGTATCTGAAATTTTTAGAAAGGCTAAATTTTTTTTTTGAGTTGCTTCATTATTAGGTTGAACTATACCAGGTTGCTGTTTCATAGTTGGAAACTCTTGACTATTTTTAGCTTCATCAATTTCAACCTTAGTATTTCTGAGAATCCAGCCATTCCCTATTTTTCTCTAAAGTGGTGTTTTTACCTTTTATCTCTGGCTTGGCATGTACCCATTAGACTTTCTTGGTTGGATTCTTTACATTTATATAGTCATTCTCATTTGAATTTTTAGGGCTGCTTTCTTCTATCAGTAGAATAATAATAATTACCACAAAAAGACTGCCATCATAGCCACACCATAAGGAATATTTATTAAATGAATGTTTGCTGTATGTTGGCACCATCCCAAGGTATGCACGTGTTTCAGTTGCAGATTCTAATTATGTCTTGAAAGAATTTYATTTTTCCATAAACATCGAAGATCAAACATAACTTCCAAACAATAGGCACCATTTCCTTCCTTAAGGAGTGACATATGAAAACCATAGTTTTTTTTTTTTTTTTTTTGGTACAGGGGAGTGAACCCAGGGGCACTTAACCACTGAGCCACATCCTCAGCCCTTTTTATGTTTTATTTAGAGACAGGGTCTAGGTAAATTCCTTAGGCCTTGCTAAGTTGCTGATCTTGGCTTTGAACCTGTGATCCTCCCACCTCAGCCTCCTGAGCTGCTAGGATTACAGGTGTKCTCCACCATGCCCGGCCATTGAAGAATTTTTGTGTGGAAAGTCCTAGGGTATTGGGCTCGCCAAACACTGAGAGGTTATAGTCTAGTCCTTTGGCCTCCTATTTGGTGTCACAGCTATGAATATGAATATAAATATTGTCATTGCCTTGAATGACTTGGTGTACTAGGGGAAACAGATTAATGGATCACTTAAGTCTACAAAGTGTCACTGTTGATAGATGTTCATGTTGTAGTGTGAACCTTCCCCCAGTGAGCCTTGTATTGTAGGCTCCATAAGCCCCTTCACCTTTCCTGACAAGGTTGTAATACACTTTCAAGTACTAGAATTGAATATGGCCCAGACAGTGTTTATTTGCTCTGGTTATCATTTTCAGATATATAGTKTATCTGAGTTGAACAATATATTTCTCAACAGATTTCTTTTAAATTACAAAGTTTAAATGTAATTCAAAGATCTTGTTCAAGGTTAGTTATCTTTTTTTAGTCAGAAATTATTTTTTAGGTATATTCACAAAATATTGTTTCATAAAAGATTTCTATTGCCATACCATTTTGTATATATCAGCAAAAACTTTGTTCTGATAGCTTTATAAGGACACATGTAAATACCTTGCTTTAGGGAGGAAGGAATCATAGTTGCTCGACACATTCTTTATTTTGGTGCATGAATTTGAAAAATGAAGACCAGAAATGTCAGATAGTGTATAGAAAATATTGAATTATCAACCTTCTTGTGCAGATGTACTAATACATTTACCCTAGGGAACAAAATTAAGCAGAACCTCAAYCTTAACTGTGTTTCTTGACATTTTTGTTTGTAATTTTGTAAGTATAATATTGCTGTAGCAACTCTTTTTGGAGAAGAAAGCTATCATATCAGATTTTATAAGGTATACTTTTAATGGAGACTCGTTTTATCCCTAGGGCTACAGTGATTTGACTATAGATATTACAAAAATGCTAAAGCAAAGTTTATGTTTCATCTGATCCTTTTATAGGGGAGGATGTAGAAATTTATCTCTTTGGTGAATAATACAGATACTTTTAGTATTTGCCAAGTTGCTTTAATAAATTTTCAGAGTGTACTAATTATGACTGGTTGTTTAATCATTTTTTTTCCTTTGGCCCCCTAAATAACACTTTTACTTTCTGAATTTTAGACTAAACATAGGATAGTGTACATATGATATTGTTAAAAGACTTCTTCATTCTTCCTCTCATAAGCATTTATTTTGTGTAGCAATGAACTTTGTCTCAGTAGTAARAAAGAAGAGAAAATGACCCCTTAATGATCTTTGATATGGGAAGAATGGTTAAATTTAATATATGATATTGACACAGTCATTCTGCATATGAAAATTTGACAGGAGTTGGCYCTATCACTTCATTCCATAAACATTTATTGAATTTATTTATAAATGTAACGCATTCAAAAGGTAATGAATAAAAAAGRTTCTCACTTTTATGAGTTTCCATGTTGAAGAATGCTATTGAGTCATGTGATGCTACATTTTAATAATTTTATATGACAGCATGATAATTTTGGTAGAAAAGTCCTATGTGGGATGCGAGCTAACAGGAAGGATTTTTCATCTAGTCTTGGATGGTCAGGGAAGACTTATCCAAGAAGTGTTATCTGATGCGAGTCCTGAAGCATCAATATGAAGTAACAAGTTGAGGTATTTAAGGAAGAGGTGAATGTATATTTATTTTCAATTTCTTCTAGGTATATCAAGCTTGACATATCTGCAGTTTGGATATGGTTTTATTTTGTCCTTCTTACAGATCATGTGTTAAAGGATTGGTCCCCTGGTGTGACACTGCTGGGAGGTGRTAGAACCATTAAGGTTTGGGGCCCAGTGGGAGGCCTTTAGGTCATTGGWTCATGACATATTTCTCTGTGCCACCCTTTGAGTCTTGCCAGAGGAAGAGGACTGATATAAAAGGAGCAAGCCTGATTCCTCTGATCCTCTTTATTGCTGCTTCCTCATATAATTGCTTGCTCTGGCATACACTCCTTCTATTGCTGTCTGTGCCTTGAGGTGATACAGCTCAGAGTGGCCCTTTTAATAGAGCTGTGCTATGCCATTTGAACTTTGAACCTCCAAAACAATGAACTAAATAGACAAACCTATTTTTAATAAGGARCCTCTGCCAGTTATTTCTTTATAGTGATGCACATCTGAATAATAAATGGAACCAAAGTCATCTTTTTTTTTTCTAAAAATGGCTTTCTTCCCTGCATTTTATCTACTCCTCCTATCCCATGTTACAACACTTTGTTTCCAGTGCAAAAAACACATAACTCTGTACTCATCTTARATATCCTCTCCTGTTCTATTTCTTCTTTCAGTCAGATACAAACACTTTTGGATTCTTTAGGCTCATTTMTTCTGCATTATCCTCTCCTCCAGCTAAATTCAGATAGGTCCTTAGTTCTTGTTTGGACAACTACAATAGCCTCCAAACTAATCTTTGTGCCTGTAGTATTTCCCTTTTGTTTCATCTTCTACACCGTTCCTGGTTGGGTTTTCCAAAGTGCAAATTTATCATGTTATTTCCTAGCATACTTAGCCTCATAACATTCTGTGGATTTTAGGACAAACAAAACAAAAGAAAACAAAACAAAAAAAACTGGTTTATTGCAAAATTCTTTTCAAAATTTAATTCCTAAGTAAATTAATTAATAAAATAGAATATTACAAAATTGAACTTGTGAATAAAAAATTGTTCCTGTGTATATCTCCAGCTTAATCCCCATAGCTCGTTTTTATATCTTCTTTTGTGCCCCTGACAAAAAATTGCTTGTATTTCCTCTGTGCATTGGTATTCCCTCAGCTAGAAATGGTAAATGCCTTCTCAGCAAATTCTTTAAGCCTGATGTTATATATTATTCCTCTAGGAATCATTCTGTGGCACTCAGTTCTTCTCTGGCTTTATTGGTGGTACTTCTCATGGAGTTGGGGTATTTSCTTTTACTTTACTATCAGACTCTGCTTACTAGAAGCACTGGCCATGTTCTGCTTAACACTCTTACCTCCAGTACCTAACCCTCTGAGAGAAATGTTAAAGGAGACATATTATTTGGATTGTTCTTAACAAAGAATAACAGTGTTGAAAAATCAAGGTTTGTAGAGGGAAGACTTTAACCTTGGTTTTGGAAAGTTTTTATTTTTTATTTTGTTTTTATTTATTTTTTTATTTGAAYATTTTTCATTAAGCAATTGAAAATGTATTTATGGTTTAATTTGTAGTCTGGTACTTAGATGAAAGATGTCTTGGTGATAGGGATTTGGATGCCATCAGTATATGAATTGTGATGTGGAGGAGGCTATCTTATGAGAAATTGGAATGAGAGAAGCAGAGGGATGAGGCAAAAGTCCTATACTTTGCCAACATGCAAGAAATTGGGAGGAGAAATCAGAAGTAGGAGGAGAAGGGGACAGAGGAGAAGCAGAAGATGATCTTGTAGTAGAACATACAGAAAAGATATTGCATATTCTATTTGTAAGTATTTATGCTATAGAGCAGACATGCCCCTTATAGGAGTGTGGAATATTGTATAATTTATTTTGTTCAACATGGTAGCCAGTGCATTGTGTGTGTCTGTTGCATCCTTTAAAATGACTAGTGTGACTGAGGAGCTGGATTTGAAATTTTATGTGAATTTTGTGAATTTAAATTTATACTTAACCAGTTATGGCCAGTTGAATTGCACAGCTATGGAGGTACCACCAAATGTGAGTCTGAATTAGAATTTGGAAAGTCACAGTTATTATTAGAGTAATGGATACTGAAGTGAATGACGTTCAACGGCTTAGAAAAGGGAGAATGGACTAAGAACATTGTAAAAGTTGTCTCTGAAGCAAAAATGTAAGATTATGTTGTAAGGGGTAAGATGAAGGACCAAAATACAGAGGGCTGAGGATGTAGCAAGAGTGTTGAGACAGTTGATTTATTTTGTCTCTGGGGAAGCCTTTCATGGCAAGAGGAATTAGGTTAACCTCTGAGTGTGCTTGGGGATCTAAATTGCTTACTTAGGTTTAGGATTAGTATCTTTTTACTTACTTCATGGTAAGAGTGGCTCGGAGGAGCTGCRGTAGTAGTGGGAGTGGGAATGTTCCTGTGGTTTTGGTGAACTGAAGGACTTTTGGGCAGTTTTTACCTGTTAGTTCCTGTGATCATTTAGTAGGGATCTAAGTTTGAGAGTAAGGATCAGTAAGTAGCCTGTGATTTAATTTCCTGACTTGTAAATGGGAATTAAAATAATATTTCTTGTTTCACAGAGTTTGGGTTATAAAACTTAAAAATGCTTCATTCTGTTCTTAAAACTCCAGTATATGCAGGAGACTGGATGCTTCTGTGCAGGCATGGGGATATGCAGTATTTCGACCTTTTGCTCAGTTTTATGTCTTAAAACCTCTTTAAAAGTAGCCTATTAGGAAAAATAAAAGCATTATCTATACTTTAATTGTAGGGAGGTGGTGTGGTTTCAGCTGAGTGATTCAGACTTGGAAGGCCAAAAATTTGGCTTTTTATGTCTCACATCTTTTACTAGTAACTATCTTTTTGTGTTAAGGGTTTAAAGGCCAGAGGCTACATTTATGAAGCAGTTGCATCTTCTTATAATGATTTTCTTCTTTTAAAAAAGACCTAAATACTTGTTCTTGATTATGAGACAATACCCTATTTAAATTCAGTTTTCTTTTTTTAAAATATTTTTTTAGTTGTGCTTGGACCCAATACCTTTATTTTATTTATTTATTTGTATGTGTTGCTGAGAATCCAACCCAGTGCCTCGAATGTGCTAGGCAAGTGCTCTACTGCTGAGCCACAACCCCAGCCCCTAAATTCAATTTTCTTAAGAGAGGTTTTCAATCCTGATGATGGCAGAATAGAGCTATTTGAGTACAAGGTGGGAACTTGTGATGAGTGGCTATATAAATTAGAAAACTCATTGGATTCCCCAAATTTTATTGTTTGCCTTGCACCCTGAAGGTATAGCACAAAGGACTTTGAAAGATTAACTTGCCATTAATCTCTCAAAGGTACTAGGAGACATGTTGTTATAAGAAAAAAAAAGCAAGTAACTGATGCATTTATACAATAGAGTTGTTTATTAATAAAATATATTGAAACGGAATGCTTTTAAATCATCTTGATAAACTTCAGATAAGTTTCAAGTATAGGGTTATAAAKGTGGGAGCAGCTAGGAATTCAATATAATGTTTTGTTCTCTTATTTTCACACAAAATCACAATGATATTTAGGGACTTTTAAGAAAAATGCCAAGGTCATAGACAACTATGAGCCAGTTTGCTGAGAGAAGAAGGTCATATACTGCATCTCTGACTTGGTCTGCTCCCTTGTGAATGAATGATTTTGCCTGGAACTGGAGAGACCTAGGGAAAAGCTRTGGGTGACTAATCACAAAATCTACTATTTCTTTTATAAAACAAATTTAGAAATGTATGTTCTATTGACAGATCTTTAGAGTCATATTTTTATATAAAGGATTCTGCTTTTCATTTTCATCTTTCTTTCTCCTTTTCTTTTCAGTTTGAAAAAGAGTTTACTGACCACCAAGAAACTCAGGCTCAATTGCAAAAAAAAGAAGAAAAGATTAATGAGCTTCAAGTGCAATTACAAGCTTTTAAATCCCAGGTAAAATGCCATCCTGGGTGATTTTGATATGGAAACCACACCAGGATGACAAAGGTCATGTTATATCTTTATAGTGTCAAATGTTTAAACTTAAATTTCATTTATATGTTTTCATAATATTGTTTATATGCATTTCTGTTCCGTTTTTAAAATTATTTTTTACTTTATTCCTACTTGTATTTTCAGGAGTCTGTAATATTTTAGGAATTACCCTGCTACCTTGTGTATTATTTGGGTTTTATTTCTAATGTCCATGCTTTCTAACTAATTAAGCATGAAGGTTAAGAAATTCTTTTGCTTTTAGATTTGTCATTCATCACTGATCTTCATCCTACTACAGGAAATTATTGCTCAAGCTATTTATTTTTCAAAACCTTCAGCCTATGGGTACCTTGCAGTGAAAGATAACCTCTAGCTGAATGAGACTATTTTCTGATAATTTTTCAATTTCCAAAAGTAAACAGATTTAAAACATGACAAAAAAAGAGAGCAAATCTGGATTATGAAGCAGATATCTCACATACATGCTTTACACCTAAAACATTAGATAGCACGAAATACATCATCTGCATCCTTTATATTCATCTGCATCCTTTATATGGATGTAAACAAGGGGATAGAACATTCAGAGCTAAATTTCTTCATGTACGTTTATGTATAGGATGATGAGCAATAAGTATAGTTTAGCTATTTCCCTTTGTCCTGATTTATCGTTATGTTGAAAGAGTCTCAGGTATACTGTTTTCTSTATTATTGTCCCTTTTGTTTTAAATACTTAATGAATAGTTTTGTTACAAGGGCTGTCTGAAAATGCCTTTAGGAGATAGCTATCTGTTGGATTTTAACTTTTAAAATGAAATTGAATAATGTTTATAAGAAAATCATTCTCATTGAGTTTTCTTTATTTTTCCAAGGAGCAAGTACCATATTTCACTGAATTTTTTCCTCTTATGGCACCTTACCTTTCATTTTTTAAAAACTTTGTTTTCTGTGGCTTGTAGGCAATGGCTGAAACATTCATAACCTTTTCCTGGCTTTAGCTTATGTAAATTAGAAAAATTTCTTTTTAATTTTGCCAGTTGATACATTACTTGCAAATCCATCCTGGAAAATTCCAGTTTATAAAAAATATGTCCACTATCTTTGGATAAATTATTGCTGCATGCTACTTTTTTGTTATAAAATGGGAGTGAATTTATGTTTTTAAATAAATCAAGAATTCTCCCAAGTTATATGTAATGATCATATCATTTATGACTATCCAAGGAAAGCCTGGAATTAAGATATTTAATGATGGACCTCATGTTCATGTTTTAAAAAACACTAGCAAATTCTTTCCTCAGATGTTTGTACTTCTCATGAGATCTGCCCATTTGTCTTAAGGCTCTTTTCTCTCTCTTGCTCAGTATTTAGTTGAACCCAGGGATGCTTTACCACTGAGCTACATCTCCACTTCCTTTTTTGATTGTTTGTTTTTTACATTTTTCATTTTGAGACAAGTTGTTACTGAACTGCTGAGGTTGCCTTCAAACGTGTGATCCTCCAGACTTATCTCTTGGTTTGCTGGGATTACAGGAGTGTGCCATTATGCCCAGCCTAAGACCCTTCTCTTTAAGCACTTACTGGCAAATGCCATAATTTCACTCTTCTTTAAAGCTGAGTAATATTCCATTGAGTATATATAACACATTTTCTTTATTCATTCATCTATTGAGGGTGCTAGGTTGGTTCCATAGTCTACCTATTGTGAATTGAGATGYTATAAATGTGGCTGCATCACTATAATATGCTGATTTTAAGTCCTTTGATTATAAACCAAGGARTGGGATAGCTGGATCAAATGGTGGTTCCATTCCCAGTTTTCCAAGTAATCTCCATACTGCTTTCCATAGTAGTTGCACCAATTTTCAGTCCCACCAGCAATATATGAGTGTATATTTTTTTACCACATCCTTGCCCGCATTTATTGTTGCCTGTATTCTTGATGATTGCCATTCTGACAGGACTGAGATGAAATCTTAGAGTAGTTTTGATTTGCACTTCTCTAAATGCTAGAGATGTTGAGCACTTTTTCATATATTTGTTGATTGATTATATTTCTTCTTCTTCAGTTCCTTAGTCCATTTATTGATTGTATTATTTGTTTTTTGAGTTCTTTATATATCCGAGAGATTTGTGCTTTATCAGAGGTGGATATGGTATAGATTTTCTCCCTATCTTAGGCTCTGTCCTCACATTATTAATTTTTTCCTTTGCTGAGAAAAAGGTTTTTAATTTGAATCCATCCCATTCATTGATTTTTTATTTTTACTTCTTGTGCTTTAGGAGTCTTGTTAAGGAAGTCAGATCCTATGCCAACATGGTGAAGATTTGGGCCTAACTTTTCTTCTATTAGGTGCAGGGTCTCAGTTCTCGTGCCTAAGTTTTTGATCCACTTGAGTTGATTTTTGTACAGGGTGAAAGATAGAGGCCTGAACCATATATTCTAATGACTTTTGAGTTTATCAAATGAAGCCTCATGGGTAGCTAACTATCAAATTTACATGAGTGTGAGGACAGATCGTATGCATCTTTGGCATTCTATGGGCATCTTTGGCATTCCTGTTCTTGGTCACAGCCTCCAGGCAATACTCTTCTTTATGCTTGATGTTCTTAATAAGGCATGCTGTTTGATTTGTGGTCTTTTATAACACTATTTTTATTTGTGCTGGTGTCATGTCATTAATTTTATGCTCTTATGTGTGTTCTACTTTCTATAGTGTACCATAAAACTTTTAATAAATCATTGATATTTTGTACATGTGCATAATTTGCTAGTTAGTTTTCATATATGTATTTGGTATGAGGGAGGGCTTACAATTGAAGTTAATAATTTCAAGGAATTAACTGTATTACCAAGACTTACTAACCCTACTGATCTTCTGTATGATCATAAAAATTCATCTTCTAAATTCTCACCATACTCTGCAAACATAATGGGAAAGGTGGCTCAGTGGACATAGCTGTTTGCTTTTCACTCCTGATTTCTACCTGTCTTCTTTATGGCAATTGACTCTGTAGAATGATGTAGAGTGGAACACTCTTTTTTCACTTTTGGTTTGTGATTCTGAGCTTGCCTTTTCCTCTTCCTGTGTTTATTTCTTCGGTTATATTTGTGTTGCTGGGAATTGAACCTAGGGCTTTGTACATGCTAAGCATGTACTTTGTCATTGAGCTACATTCCCATACCTTTAAAAAAATTCATTTAKTTTGAGACAGGGTCATTCTGAGTTGCTGAATTCGGCCACTAACTTGTGATATTGCTGCCTCAGCATCCCCAGTAGCTGAGATTACAGATCTTTCAGGCGTAATCCTTTTATTCTATACTTTTCTTCAATGACTGTCATGTGCCAGTCACTTGTTGAGGTGCTGGGAAAGAGTAGTGAGTAAAACAGCATAGTCAATTCCCTACTGCAGTTTTTAATCTATCAATGAGATAATTGCTACATCCCTGGACTTTTCTTAATTTTTATTTTGAGGTAGGGACTTACTAAGTTGCCAAAACTTGTCTTGAACTTGGTTCTCCTGGTACAGACTCCTGATTATTTCACACTTCTGATAAGAGGTAGTAACAAGAAGTATAGAGTGCTACCAGTGTAAAATGAGTGTCAAGATCAAACTTTCCTGAAGAAGGAGTATGTTAACTTATTCTGGAAAGACTGGTAGAAGATGGTCAAGTAAAAATATAACATACAAGGGCCCCTGATACCAGTATTACGAGTTGGTGCATATATGTAATTAGAAGGAAGTTACTTAAAAGACCAATTTGTAGGGACCTGATCATGATATTTATTTGTAGACCCTACTAGAAATTTTAAGAATGTTTTTCCTAAAGTGCATCAGACGTATGGAGAAGATTTGGAAATAACCATTTAATCTTTTTTAGTTTGTTTCTTATATATATATTTTTTACTTATCAATTAAATACATGTTTATAGAACTCTATAGACATGTCTTTTCTCATCCTACATATTATCTGCATATTGTGAACTCACATTTTCTTTCTCTGCTTGGGTTGTCACCTACAGACAGTTGGTTTTTTATTTGTTCTTTTTAAAAATTTTATTGGTTCTTTTTAGTTATACACGACAGTAGAGATTCATTTTGATAAAATTATAYAAGGATGGAATATATTTTATTCTAATTAGGACTTCAGTCTTGTGGATGKACATGGTTGTGAGATTTAATATGTTGTATTCATATATGTACTTGGGAAAGTTATGTCAGATTCATTTCACTGTCTTTCAATTTCTATTCCTCCTCCATTTTCTTGTTTTCCCTTTGACTAATCTACTGAACTTCTGTTCTTTCCTCTTCAAGTCCCCCTTATTTTGGGTTAGCTTCCACATGTTAGAGAAAACGTTGGACTTTTGGTTTTTGGGATTGGTTTGTTTCACTTATCATGATTATTCTCCATCCATTTATTGGCAGATATCATGAAGTCATTCTTCTTTGTGGCTGAGTAATACTCCATTATATATATGTATCACAAGTGCTTTATTCATTCATCTATTAGGTTGCCTCCATAATACCTATTATGAATTTTGCTGCTATAAACACTGATGTTGCTTTGTCACTATAGGATGCTGACTTTAAATCCTTTGGGTATATACTGAGGAGTGGGATAACTGTTTCCAATGGTGATTTCATTTCTAGTTGAGGAATCTCCATATTGCTTTTCAGAGTGGTTGACCGATTTGCCCTCCCACTAGCAGTGTATGTTTGTACTGTTTTTCCTACATCCTTAGCAACATTTATTGTTATTTGCATTCTTAATTGCCATTGTTGTTGGAGTGAGATAAATCTCAATATAGTTTTAATATTCATTTTTCTAATTGCTAGAGAGATTGGACATTTTTTCATATATTTGTTGTCTGTTATTTTTCTTTTGAGAAGTGTCAAATAAATGTCATTGCCCATTTATTGATTGGGTTATTTGTGTTTACACACACACACACACACACACACACACACACATACATATATTTGGATTTTTGAGTTGTTTTCCTGGAAATTATCTCCTTATCTGAGGTGTGTATGACAAAGATTTTCTTCCATTTTGTATGCTCTCTCTTAATGTTCTTGATTGTTTCCTTTGCTGTGAAGAAGCTTTTTAGTTTGATATCATCAATTTGTGATTTTTTTTATTCTACTTATTGTACTTTAGGAGTCTTTTTGAGGAATTCAATAACTGAGCCAATATGTTAGAGTATTGGACCTACATTTTCTACTAGTAGGTGCAGGTTTTTGGTTAGTAACCAGGTCTTTGATCTAATATGAGTTGAGTTTTGTGCAGGATGAGAGATAGGGTTTAATTTTAATTCTACTACAGTTTTCCTAACATCATTTCTTGAAGAGGTTGTCTTGTCTCCAGTGTATGTTTTTTGCGTCTTTTACATAGCTGATTTTCAAATCTCAGACATCTCTATACCCATTTCCACAGTGGGCATTTCCACTTATGTAGCCATCACTGTCTTCAAATTGGGAATTGTATTTCTGGCAATTACATTTTCTTGAGAACAACAGCTATATAACTCTTAAATTAGAAATGTTCTCAGAGTTTTGTGTTTTGGTTAAATTATATTGATATTAGTTAATTTTTTTAAAAATGTATCTTAGTTTTGAGTAAAGTACACTTTGTACACATTTGTAAACATGTTCTCAGTTGTTTCTCTTATTACTTTTTTCTCTAGTTTGGTGCCTTGCCAGCTGATGTCAGTATTTCTTTGCCACCTTCAAAAGAAGATGGAGCTGGTCTCCCACCACTTCCTGCTCCCCCTCCATTGCCCTCTTGTGGAGGGTTGCCACCTCCACCACCCCCTCCACCACCACCTCCACTCCCAGGAATGCCCTTGCCATTTGGTGGTCCTGTGCCTCCACCTCCTCCTCTGGGCTTTTTTGGTGGTAGAAACTCTCCTCCTCCACCAACACTGCCATTTGGGATGAAACCAAAGAAAGAATTTAAACCTGAAACCAGCATGAGAAGATTGAATTGGTTAAAGGTGAAATGTACAAATAGAGGAAACCACACTTCTRTCTAGATTAAAATTTAATTTTGGATTGACTAACATGTAATTTCTAGTGGGAACCCTAATCAAAGTGACAATGAATAAAATGGTATTACTATTACTTAAAAAAATGGGCATGTTGAGACAAAGTCCTATGTTATGGACTATGTTGTCCTCGTTCATAAATTTGATGAGAATTGATGTTTCAATGAGATTTGATTTGTAATTAAGTTGATATTTCACAATTATTGWGATGGAAACTTACATTTATGTAGAACTTTTCAAAAGTACAAAAGTCTTAGTGTTTTTTGAATTTTTTTTCTCTGTTGGTTAGCTATTGGAAAAATATTATGTATTGTCAGAAGCTGATACTTAGAGCATAAGAATTCTGAGTCTGGCAGAAAGGTGGTTTGATGGTCACATAAATTGGGGAAATGCTATATAATGAACATATCTTGCCCTTCAAGAGTTGTAGTGTGGGTGAACATTAATAATCCTCTGAGAAATACAATTGAGAAGGAATAAATTAAACTTTATTTCATTCAGCTGCAAATCCCTACCTATTTGATCATAGAAACTTTTTCTTTCTCATCAGAACTTAATGTCCTTCACAATTTGTACTTCATTGAACAGACTTTGGGGGAAAATCTCGCAAAGATTTCTTCATAAACATCCGCTGGCAGCTTTGGGCCCTGRGTGTATACATTGCAATTGGGCTGGGACAGGTGAAACACTCAGCTGTTTGTGAATCAGTCTTCTCCCTGATTGCAGATCAGACCTCATGAAATGACTGAAAACTGTTTCTGGATAAAAGTAAATGAAAATAAGTATGAAAATATGGATTTACTTTATAAACTTGAGAATACTTTTTGTTGCCAACAAAAAGGTAAGCTTAACATCTTGGTTATGTGTTTATATTTAGAATTTTAATTGCCAGTTTGAATATCCAGCCTCTACAAACATTATTTTAAGAATCCTATCCCTTATATTTTTACATTACAAATGATAAATTATCTCATGAGTATTTAAAAGTGAATTTTGTTGTAAATTATATTAAAATGGGCAATTTTTAAAATGCAAATGATTAATATAAACTTTTATTTTAAAGTTCTTTTGTGTAATAGTTGTTTTGAGGATGTTCTATTGAGGTGAAATAGTTTTGGTTTTTTTTTTTTAAAGAAGGATTTTTTTGAGAGTCAGTTTTAGCATGTGAATTCCCTTTAGTTTGAGAAATAGAAAAAATAAATGTCAGCCTTTCTCTAGTCAGAGTTTTGCCACACTTAGTATTATAGTGACTGCTCCATAATTAGTTGGTATAAGCAAATGAGATAGAAATATCAAATATATTGTGTATTCAAAGTTGACTTGAAAAACAAGTGTTTTAGTATGTTATGATCTTTTTATTAAAAACAATGGATTTAATTTTGCAACTTGTTTTGTGATAGCTTAACCTGTGCAGTGTGTTTTTTAAAAAAATTGTTTTTAAGGACATGGGCTTTTTTTTTTTTTTTTGTCTGAAAATTGAAGTCATTTTTTCCAGTCTCCCATGGGCTTGCCACTTATATTCAATGCCTGATAATAACATATATTGTTAAATTAATTTTTATGTGTATGTAAAACTTATACTTGAGGTTTGTAGGAAGGCATTTTAGATCAATCATTACCTTTTAACTTTTGAAAAGACACTTTTCCACCACAGCCCTGTGCCACCTATGTCCCTGGGTTCATTGAACTCAGGGCTGGCCAGGAAAGATTGTGCTGAGTGGATGTAGGTGGGAGGCCTGGGTATAGACATGGAGGATTTGACTTCTTAAAATGCTTACTGTTTACTAGGTGCCATGGTAGAAATGCCCCAAGTATCTGATTTAACTTGATCATCACAGCAGCCCGAGAATATTGGCAGATACCTTAAAAACTTATTTGTATTCCTTTGAAACGTTTTCTAAAAGGTCATCATAAATTAGAAATTCTCTCTAAGAGATTATTATAAAATAAAGTAGCTTTCTAGAATTTGTGGTACATCAAAACCCTTTACCAGATATTTTTGTGAGGAGCATTTGTCTTGACTAAAATATTAAAAATAAAATATTGTGGTCTTTGAAAATGGAGAATTCTCAGCAAGCTCACCATAGGAAAACTTGTAAAGTAAGCAGATCTTAATTTTACCTTTTGATTATGGAGAATCAAAATTTTCTTTGAATAAGATTAGTGCACTCTTCAAGGCAATCAAGGAAAATATATGGCAGTTAAAATGTGTATTTACATTTAAAACACTTCAGAATTTCAGATTTCATAATCTGGAATTGATTAGTTTTCTCTTTGCTTTGCTAGTAGGTGCAAATGGTGGTACCTAAAAGCTATTTAAGTAATGCTGCCATCCAGCTACTCTTTCTTTTTTTCCCTCTTTACTCTGATTACTTTCTTAATTAATGAGGCTCAAAAGGGAAACTTGTTAGCATGTATTTAATTTAACTGTAGTGTTATCCCTAAATGAAATAATTGGACCTTGAAAAAATTCTTAAGTCATCTAACTTTAGCCTTGAGATTCAAGGTTAAAAAAAAAAAACAACAAAAATGTATTTAAAAAAAATGTAGATGTATTTGCTCAGTCTAATACTAGTTGTACAGATTAAGATGAGAAATGATGATCATTTTCTGAGTCTTCTTACTTCCATCTTCCTTGGCCTCTTGGTATCTTTGTTCATTCTGTCCCCTTGACTGGAATCTTTGTTATTTGAGTCAGAAGCAGGGGACCACAGCATCTTTTGTCTCAGCTCAAATGTGGCTTTCCTTTTTTTTTTTTTTTTTTCCTTTGGAGTGTATGTCCATGGATGATATTTTCAGGGTGAACAGAAAAGATAGAAAGCCCAGGGATATGGCCTAACCAATGCTAACATTTCATAATGCCAACCAGAGATGAATTGTGAAAGTCACTTTATTTTGTTCTGTACCTCAAGGAATAATTTTTAGAGAGCATTATATAATTATATATGATTTTTGGCATTACTGGTAAAGTATTTAATTGGAAAAGGCTTTTTCATTGTTGCTTTTAGAAAAACAGAATTTTTATCGTGTAGTATAGCTAGTAAAAGATAAGAAAGGGGGCTGGGGGTGTGGCTCAAGTGGTAGCGTGCTCGCCTGGCATGCGTGCGGCCCAGGTTCAATTCTCAGCACCACATACAAACAAAGATGTTGTGTCCACCAATAACTAAAAAATAAATATTAACATTCTCTCTCTCTCTTAAAAAAAAAGATAAGAAAGGAATGGAAAGAGAGATGTTCAGAAGGCTTAGAAAGTCTATAGGTTATTGGAGTGGACAAGCTGCTCCTTGAAGTCACTTTATTTACATGTGCTTCTGAGGTCCTGGGTCCCAATATTAATATTTGCCTATCCTCATGACTCCAAAGATTTTAATGCATTTTATAGTTTCTGAAGAATTCAGAATTAAATTTGACTGCTTACACATTATTCATTCCAAAGGTGAAAATCCAATTGTGTCTCCATGTCTTGGCGTACAAGGGGAGGAGAGGCATTGACTGCTGGTTGATTTTAATCACTGTTCTGCCTGGGAACTAGGCAGCGGAGGGTCAAGAATTCAAATTAATAAAAATATGGAATGTTTAGCGAATTGGTGTATCTCCATTTTTTTATTGCATTGACTCTTTGTACTAAGAACTATGGCTATTTCTGTGATGAGAAAGATGGATGTTCCATCCCAGGCACTTAAAAACATTTGAAATGGATAGTGAGAACGAAGGAATTGAATCAAGCCTTAAAGTAGAACCTTAAAATTTACTCACATGTCTTTTTTTTTTTTTTTTTTTTTTTGGTCAATAAATATGTGTTTCTTCCCCCTTTACAGTAGATGGTGCTTTAGGTTTCTGTGACATTCATGTCCAGATCACTGGGGTTCTATGGGTCTAATATCCTGAGAGTTGGAAAAGTAAGAGAAACTAATACCTAGAGCCATAGTCATGTCCCAGTCCTGGGGCTGTCTTTTCAGTTATCTTGTTTAATCTTTACCACTTTACCACATCTCAGCTAAGATCTTTTCTCCTTATCTTCTGATTACAAAACAATTTTTATTTCCCATAGTGTCATCTTGTCTCACCTTCCTACAGATAGAGCAAGATTTTTTTTAAGGACATGTACTTTTTTTTTTTTAAATCCTGTTGCCCTTTATTTTACTATTTATATATTTGTACATGTGTGTGTATATATATTTAGAGATATGCATGTATATATAAATATATGTATACATACCAAACACACACACACTCCCCTCCTCATTTAGATCTTACTTTGTTTCTTAATCTCCCTCTGACCATTTTTAACATTGTTGTGGCCTTCTACCATATATTAGAAAGTATAGCCTTTTCCTATGAAATCCATATTTTTTTCTGCAGTTCTCTTATATCATTGTCTCATACTTGATTTTGCTGTTGAATATGGTTTTCTTGTTTCTTTTTTCTCTTTATGAGATACATGTTAACTTTCCATATTTTAAATTTATCTGAAAATATATATGAGCATTTTTTACTTTTATTTTTTGGTACTGGGGATTGAACCAAGAGGCACTAAACTGAACTATATCCCCAACCGTTTTAATTTTTTTTTTTTTKTAGACCATGCCCTCAAACTTGTAATCCTTCTACCTGTGTTTCCAGWGGTGCAGGGATTATAGGCATCTGCCACTGGGCTTGCATTTTTCCTGATTACTTTTTTTTTCCTTTCCTTTCTTCTGTTTTTCCATTTGACTGCCACTATTCCAGTCCACAAGTGTATATTGCATGTTCACTAGGCCTTGGGTTAGGGACTGGGAGAATGGGAATGAACAAGGGAATCATGCTTCTTCTGTCAAGTTCTCTGTTGAAGTACAAGATTGGGGTAGAACATGGAACAACAAATACTGATTGTTATTTTAGAAGAGACTGCCATACTTTACTATCTTTGGCTTCTGTTGAGACTTAACAAGGTTATAAAAGAACATTGTTTATATATATATCTCTTTCTGAAATTTAATCACAATATTCGTGTATTGAACATTTGGTATCATCAAAATAGTGCTAATGACCTGTGTATTTTTTACCAGATTGGAARCATCTGTTGGTTAATTTTAACAGGCTGTTGGAAAATGGATTGAAGTATACTAACAGGTTATTGGTAGTGGATTTGTCATCTAAAATTAATATTAATTACTTTCATTATTCACAAACTGTTAACTTAATAGGGATTAAAGGGCTTTCTGGAAGTATGTGAATAGTCTAATTCAGTTAGACTGATTTAGTATGAAAATCTGGTTCCACAATTGTTAGCTTTTTGAAGTAATCACATTTTATAACAGGTGCATCATATTTGCAGATAAGGCCAATAAACTGGTTTATAAATAATTTCTTACCTGAATAGTTATGGCATATGGAAACAGTTAATGGATTACACACTTAAAAACAAATCAAGCTTAAGATTTCTAACATCATAGTTCAATGGACAAAGCATTGGGGTAGCAAGTCATAAGCCACAGATTATCCCAATGACTTGGCTGTGTTCAAGATGTCATTTTGTATTTGAAACACAATTTATTCCTTTTATACACATAAGTGTATAACAAGTCCTAAGTCACCTTCCCAAGCCTAAAATAAGATAAGCGGTACAGTTTATAACTGAGAATGCATGGCAATAAAGGAATAATGCCAAATTGAATGCCACATATCTTTGTATCTTGCACATCCTGAAGTTTTCTGAAAAGAACATTTGAGGAATAATAATTTGGAAAGATTGAAGAAAAAGAAAATGGCCAATTAAGTATTCTCTAGGAATGTATTACTTGGTTCTTGTCTGGGCTAAGTCTCAAAAGAACTGAAGACATAAGTAAATTATGAGATGCG